CTAAAATTAGAAAAAAGGCTCCTAAATTTGCAGCCTTACCCCCTATTTGGGAGCATGGGAAAGTCTATTTATGTGTAATGGTTATATCACTTGCATTAGATGCAATAGATCTGAGGTTCAATGCCTACTCTGAGCATATTATCTGTAAAGAAAGAAATCTTAACATAACCTTTTATTTGACACCTATTCAATTGGGTATATGGTGTCATAATTGAATCTTGATCCAGTTCAGCTTGGAGCCTCCTTTATATATATGATCTTACAAGAGAGGACTAGAATTTTTCTCCATAAAAATATAATATTTTTCTAAGACTATAAACTCAAATTGTTTTTTGAATGTTTGTTTTTCGATTTTGATATTTTCATTCCTAATTTCATTTAAAGTTTTGAATTTGATGAAAATGACTGCACGTAAACTTTTTTGTTTTAAATATACTTCGATATAATTATATATTTACAATATTTTGCTGACTGATATTTAAAACAAAAAAGCTTATATGCAGTCATTTTTATCAAATTCAACATATATAAATGTCGTATAACAAGAATTTAAAAGATTTATAGTTTATCATATCAACCTGGGCCTCAAAAGAGCAATAATTTTAAATAAAAACAAATTGCTTAAATTTCTTTTTAAACAAAAATTCTGGTTTTTTTGAGACCCAGGTTGATATACTTTTGAAGAAAAAAAATTCACTGCGACCCAGAGTGTAATCAAGGGTCATGGTGGGTGATCTCAAAAAATAAATAAAACCAATAACTTGTCAGATACTTTTAAACCAAAGTTCATTTATTTTATATACAGGAAACTGGAGATACCAAAAATTTACCCTAAAGTCAACAGCCTAATATATATATATATATATATATATATATATATATATATATATATATATATATATATATATATATATACATACATATATATATATATATATACATATATATATACATATATATATATATATTTATATATATATATGTATATATATATATATATATATATATATATTATATATATATATATATATAAATGTATATATATATATATATATATATATATATATATATATTATATATACATATATATATATATATATATACATATATATATATATATTTATATATATATGTATATATATATATATATATATATATATATATATATATATATATATATATATATATATATATATATATATATAAATGTATATATATATATATATATATATATATATGTATATAAATATATATAAATGTATATATATATATATATATATATATATATATATATATATATATATATATATATATATATATATATATATATATATATATATATATATATATATATATATATATATATATATATATATATGAAAATATTTATTTATTAAATATTCAGAACTGTGTGTTTATTATAATTTTGCACTACATTTTGATGAGGGTTTTTTGGGGTTAAGGTCTTAAGGGTTTTTATTATTGTCTCTAAAACTCGTTTCTATACAAATCAGGATCGCATTTGTCGTCAATTAAGGTAGTAATGCTTTTATCGAGTAGATTTTTAAATTCGCTAAGAAGAATAAGTGGTTTAGAATTTTGTAATGTTAAATCCAAAGGAATACTTTGATGTTTTGAATTTGTATGCCTTGTTAGGCCTCTTTGAGATATGCACTTTTTAGAGCAAATTGTGCAAGAAAATGCACTTTTAACTGATTCACTAGACAACTCCAACACCAAGGCGTCTAAATTCTTATTAAAATTTTCGTCTTCAAAAAAAAAATCATTTTCCAAAGAAAAAAATAATGTTTCAATATCAAATTCACCATTGAAATCTATGTCCGTTTCCATATTTTGTGCACTCTGTTCCCGGCCGTTCGACAGTTTTCAAGTGAATTTAACGAATATTAGAAAAATTGCATAATACAACCTGAGTGACCAGACTATCTATTTCTTATGACTATGATATTATATGCTGATGATGCCGGTGTCTATAATCCGGCAAAAGTTTCAAATAAATTATTTAGTTTTGAAAAAACTCGTATTATCTAATGTACTTATCATCGCTGGCAAGCCTTTTAAAAAATGCATTTACAACTAAGTGTTTTGTCGCTCTTTAGCCGCTGGCGGCTAGCCAACAAGTATAGCATAGTGAACCTTCATTGTTTTTTGAGCTTTGCAACTTGAGCTTTGCAAAATGACTGCAATTTTACTTTAAGAAATTTAAATTAAATTTTACTTGCTTCGTTTTGTTTAAGAGTTGATCCTGTGTAAAATTGCCCACATCATTCAAAAGTTTTTCTTTGAATATTTGCAGGCTTTTGAACAATAAAAAATCAAGAACTTTTATAAAGATATGATTATTCTGTGAAATTATGGAAGTTTCTGAAAAGATTCTGAAAAATCTTCAACGTCCCAGTAAGCAGACACTATTTGGCCCAATAACGAACCAGGCTTGGCTGCCGAAATGTACCAGGCCTGGCACGCCAGCGCCGTGCCAGCACCAGGTTGCTCATTGGTTTTTCAGGGCCAGTATACGCAAGGGCCAGTATACGCAAGCCAGTGCTGGCGCAGCAACGTTTTGCTAGCGGCAAGCCAGCAATGATTCAATTTAGGGTCAACGCTGGCAATCAGCGAACGTTGTACTAAACGCCCACTATACAAAATTGTCCAATTAAACTACTTTTTTCATCAATTTTTATCAATTTTACTTATTACATTTTTTATATATTATATAATTATATAATTATATATATATATATATATATATATATATATATATATATATATATATATATATATATATATATATATATATATATATATATATATATATATATATATATATATATATATATATATGCATATATATATAAGTTTTATATGGTTATATAAAAATAATTATTATATCTATTTTGTCTGTCAGTTATGTTTTTTTTTTACTTTTTGTTAAAATAGTCATAAGTTAAAAACAAAAAACAATTATTGAATTCATATAATATATTGTTTGTTAATAATTTACAAGTTAATAAATTTGCATTAAAAATATATAAAAAATAAGTGCATTAAATTTATCATTAATAATATAAATACTTGTAAAGCTTATAATAATGTCAAATATACAATTAATATAAAACAGATCATGCAAGACTTTGAGAACATTATACTTTGTCAGATTCATCAAATAATCCAGATCAAATAATCCAGATAAAGGTTTCAGTGTCAATGATTGGGCAGTTTAGCCACGATTTTCTGTTGAACTGGTTTTTTGGTTGACCTTTTTTCTGCTCTTTCTTTCCTGCCTCTATATATGTCTAGAGCCTTTGAAAAAATAGCCTCAACTGCCTTTTAAATTTCGCTGTATGTGGTATCGTTTGTCAGCAAATTTCTTCGTATTGCTTCTATAAAAGTGTTTTTATGAACAAAATTATAAGAGTATAGCTAAATATAGTTGTTGTATATATCTTATATGTCTATATCAGTATCTCTCTCTTTCTCTCCCTCTCTCTCTCTCTCTCTCTCTCTCTCTCTCTCTCTCTATATATATATATATATATATATATATATATATATATATATATATATATATATATATATATATATATATGTGTGTATATATATATATGTGTATATATATATATATATATATATATATATATATATATATATATATATATGTATATATATATATATATATATATATATATATATATATATATATATATATATATATATATATATACACATATACATATACATATTAGCAGATTAAAAATTCTTTTTTTTTTCAAAACCTTTATAAACTAAATTGGAAATTCAAAAAAAAATAAAAACGTTTAGAAGGGGGCAATAATACCTAACATGCTACCTATAAAGACTTATTTAATTTCAGGTGAAGTTATTGCATGTGGAATAATAACTTTTTTGCTATAGCCGTCAAAACTTGTGTCACGGAAGGAACCATTGTTCCTTCTCTGACACAAGTTTTTAATGCCTATAACTAAAAATTTAGAATTCTACTAACAATATCTTTTCTCAAAATTGCCTATAACTAAAAATTTAGAATTCTACTAACAATATCTTTTCTCAAAATTAAATAGATATTTATAGTTAGTTTGTTAGGTATTTTTACCCCCTTCCAAACCTTTTTTTTATCAATTTAAGGAATATGAGTTAAAATATTTCTTTATATTATATATTTCAAAAGAAAAAAAAATAGTAAAAACTCTTTTTTGGTGCTTCATGTAGCAGTTAACCTTTTGAACAATTGGTAACAATTGGTAACAATTTTTAACAATTGGTAACAACTTTTAATAATGGGTAACAATTTTTAACGATTGGTAACAATATTTAACAACTGGTTGGCAAAAAAGTTATTATTCCACATGCAATAACTTCACCTGAAATTAAATAAGTCTTTATAGGTAATATAAAGAAAATATTTTTTGAAAGTGCAAAAGTGTCCAATTATTTAAAAATACAACAACAAAAGAAGTTAAGTAAATATTTAATAACTTGAATCTTTTTTTTTTGAAACTCAAATCACTTTTTCGATTCAATTCGAAATTTTGAAGATTCACATGGCTCTAATGGTATGTATGTATGTATGTATGTATGTATGTATGTATGTATGTATGTATGTATGTATGTATGTATGTATGTATGTATGTATGTATGTATGTATGTATGTATCAATAATATGAAGAAAACAATGAAAGATAATTTTAAATATTTATATTTATTATTATATTTACTAGCAGTAAGCAACCCGTAATACGCGTTGTTAGTAAATAAAATTAAAAAAAAAAACCGCGCATAGAAAAGCCTAGAAACTACTTTAAAATAGAAAAGCCTAGAAAATGACGTAATTCGACTAATAATATTAAATTAGCGTATTAATATTATCAGATTAACTTACTTTCAATAACTTGACGAAATTTAAGAATTCGGAAAGACTTTTTTTGAAGATCACCTTGCCCTGTCCGATTCAATTTTTTTGCTACTTCTCTTTTTGCTGCTACTCCCTTCACCTTAAAAAAAATTGTTACCACTAGTAAAACAATTTAGTTCATTTTTTTTTTTATTAACATTAGTTATAATTCATAAAATGTTTTGCAATAGGCTACAAATTAGTAGTCAAAATACCTTAATCACAGAGGTAATTATGATCACTTTTTCCAATCTCGTTTTACTTTTGTTTAATACAGAGGCAGGTGTCTGCAGACAAGACTTTTTTAATTCTTGATGTTCATTAAAATCTTGTGAGTTACTATCATAATTTTCATCAGATTACTTCTGTACTCTAAACACGCAAGTCTAATGTTAAAATATAGTTTATAAAAATTGTTATGGTATGTTATAAACACCTTAAAGTAATCATTAAAAAGTATACATGAAATACAAAATAATAACTAAAGATATTACGATGTTCAGTAGGATAATTAAGATAATTTTGAGGCTAAAGGCTTTTATTTTATTTAAGATAATTTTAAGGCTCAAGGCCTAAAGATTATTTTAAGGCTAAAAATTAACTGAGTTAATAATTGTATACTTTAGTCAACAAATAATAATTAAAACTTAGTGAAGTACTTGTTTTACTAAACGCCAAATTAAAATAAAGAAATTATAAAGAAATATAATTAAGGTTGAATAAATATATAGAATAAAGGAAAATAAAGGTGGGGGACGATGACAATGATGATGAGATCGTATAAAATATAGCATAAAAAGTATATATATATATATATATATATATATATATATATATATATATAATGAATTTTATTTAAATACATAAAAAACACTAATTTAAATAAAGTTTTAGGACGCATTAACATTTAAGCAGCTCTGGTCATAGATCAGCAAATTAAATCAGTGAATTCTTGTGTGATATTATGCTGAGAAGATCAAAATGCTTAATCACCATCTAGTTTATAATATTACAATATTCTTATCACTTTTATCTGAATCGTTATCAGATAAAGCTTTAAATTCACTAATTTCATTATCAATTTGATAAGAAATATTGAGGTTATTATCCAGAGCAGCGGTGTTGGAAGGTTCATTATCTGAAGTTTTCGACTCATATTTTTTGCAATTGCTTTAAACGACTGTTTTGGGCAAAGCATCAATATGCTGAGGTAAATATGCATAGGTAAAACTTTGTTTTACCTATGATTACATAGGTAAAACAAAGTTTTACCTATGTAATCATAGTTATAGGCTCCATCAATAACTGTTTCCCCTTGATTGATTTCGGACAAATAAATAAATAAATAAAAGTTAAAATAAAATAATTTTAACTTCTCGAATTTTTTTTCTTTCAGTCCAATAGCTAATAACTAAAACCAAGATTACTAAATATACAGGATGTGATATAATGAAAATTATATACTTGAATGAAAACATAAATATATTTTTCTCTCCGTAAAATTTGCATCTACATTAAAAACCTTTTGCGCCATGCATTTTTGTACCTTTGGCGAGTCATTAATGATACGCTTATGATCCGGCAATGGGCAGTTCTAGTTCGCCAGCTCCCTTAACTGGATCACATATGTTTTGCCGGACCTGGGTCGCCAGCTCTGGTCCATTAATGTACTGCTGATTGGGGTAGAGGAATATTATGTATTTAAAGCTGTGTAAGGAGCAAGTAATAAAGTCATTTTATAAATTTGCTTTAGATCTAACAATTGTTTATATTTCTTTTAGGTTTTGTTCAAAATTTGAAGATAGTAAGTTTATACAAGCTTTTATTCAACGCTAAACAGTCTGATCAATCTTGGATTTCTATTGAACTTCAAGCGCGAACCTCCCGAGACGCAGCCGGTCTATATGCTGTTTTAAAACGTTATTGCATTTGTTAGAATAGCCTTAATTATCGATTTCTTACAGTTTGAGGTTTTTATTTCTTTGTTAAATGATTCTATGTTGCAAATCGGTTGGTTTATTAACATTTTTAATATGTTCATATAGGGTAAACGTTATTATTTGGCCGTATCTTTTTGTTGACCGTATTTATTAATTTCAAAAAATATATATTTTTCAGTTGAAAATTTTTATATAAAATTTAAAGCACGATATTTTGTTCTCCTTTTATCATATGAAACGTAATATTTTTATATGGACTTTAAATATCTTTAAAGCCGCACGTTGTTATTATTTTTTTGTATTGAATCTGAAGAAATTTTACCCATTTATCATTTACAAAGATTTTTTGTAGCCTAAAAATACTTTTACGGCCATTTTATATTACGACAAATATTTAAGATCGTCTAAATATCTGGCATTATTTTTTATTATAGTAATCTAGCTGTCGTTATTCTTACTATAGCTTTGTTATTATAATATTTTATATGAGTTAATCTTTTTAACTTATTTAAAATATTATAATATCAAAACTATAGTAAGAATAATAGATTTCATTAATGTATTACACTGTAAAAGTTTTTATTCAGAACGTAAATAAAACATAAGTAGTAAAACCACAGATTTAGGACTCCCTCCCTCTTGTATGTTTTCAGCGTGCACTTTGTTTGTTGCGAAATCCAACCCCCTTCCTAATTTTCCTATCGCATATATTTTCTAAAACATTGAATGTAATAAACCTTTAGTTTATTCGACATTTCACTGTTACAGTGACGGATCCAAAGAGGGGAAGGGATCGGGTTTTTCTTACATCATAGAAATTAAGGAGTTTTTTTTTTTAAGAGAAGCAAATGTGATACGAAATACAAGAATTTTTCCACATCTTTATTTTTCATAGTAAAGAGGAAGTAAACCTTAAATAAAAAAAACATACTTAAAATCGTCCAAAAACGAACTTATTATTTAAAAATAAGACAAAAGCATGAAAAAAACAGGTTTTCACTAATTTCATCTGAAATCTTTTGTTATATTTTTATAGATTCTGTGGGTTCAATTTTAAAAATGTTCAATTAAACCTAAGGGAAGCAAAGGAATCTAAGTTTTTTACGACAAAACCCCTTTTTATATAAAATTAAAAAATAAAACAAAAGCATCAAAAAAAACAGGTTTCCACTAATTTTTTGTAGATTTTGTGGGTTTAATTAAAAAAATGTTCAATCAAACTCGAGGGAAGCAAAGGAACATAAGTTTTTAACGACAAAACCCATTTTTCTGTACTAAAACTTACTTAAAATTGAAAATAAATAAAAAAAGCATCAAAAAAACAAGTTTTCACTAGTTTTTTTGGAATCTCTTATTATATTTTTGTAAATTTTGTGGTTTTATTCAAAATAATATAAAAATAAAGAGAAGCCATCCAGCTAAACCTAAATTTTATGTGCAGGAATGCTATTTACTCTACAAAATTTTTTACGAAAATTAATTTCATAACATTAAACAGATTTTCACTGATTTCATTCGGAATATTTTGTTATATATTTGTAGATTCTGTGAGTTTATTTAAATAAATGTTCAACTAAACCTAAGGGAAGCAAAGGAACCCAAGTTTTTAACGACAAAACCGCTTTTCTATACAAAAACTTACTTAAACTTAAAAAATAAGACAAAAGCATCAAAATAATAGATTTTCACTGATTTCTTTTACAATCTGTTAAAGTTTTGTAGATTTTCTAGATTTGTTTAAGATAATGTCAAAATAAAGAAAAGCCACCCAAGTAAACCTATATTTTTCTATGCGGAATGCTGTTTACTCTATGTCGTTAGGTGATTTGTCGCAAGTTTATCACATATTGAGTTAGGATTATGTCGTCCTTTCTAAAAATAGGACAACTTTCTCAAACAAAAAGGCATATCGTTAACAGAGGGAAGACATATCGCAAACAGACTTAACGAACATTTTAAATTAGTTTTTGTTGATGATAGCAAAAATGATCAGTTACCGGTTTTTGAGAGTAGACATAATCAAGAAGACTTGGTCGATGTAATAATAATTTTTGAAGCGACGCTAGCCTACTTGAATGATTTGAACCCGAATAAATCTATTGGTGTTAGTAACATTAGTCTAAAGGTACTTTAAGAATGCGCAGCTCAAATGATTTACTCTCTAACATTAATTTACAATAAAGTACTGTCTGAAGGCTCAACAGCCTGGAAGCAGACACACGTCATACCGTTGTTTAAAGTCGTCTTTATGCCGCTAATTACAGTCCAGTGTCTATTACTTCAGTTCCATGAAAAGTAATGGAAAAGATTATCAGGGAACAGATAACTAAATATATTGAAAAAACGAGCTGCATCTCAAACAATCAACATGGATTTATGTCCAAAAAAGAATGCACGTCTAACTTATTGGAAAGTGTCGACTACATTACGAAAGCGTTAAGCAAAAGAAATTTTGTTGATATTGCATTTTTGGACTTTGCAAAAGCGTTTGATAAAGTTTCTCATCGTAGACAACTACATAAATTGAAAGCATATGAGATCAATGGGAATGTTGGCAAATGGATTGAGTCATTTTTGACTAGCAGAAAACAACAAACTTTTTTAGGTAATCACTCTAGCAACTGGACCGTGAGGAACTCCACCTAAAACTGAAAATTTTAGACGGAGTTTCTCAAGGATCTGTACTTGATCAAACATTATTCATCATCTACATAAATGACTTAACGGATTATTTAAAATCAGTTTATAAAATCTATGCTGATGACACTAAACTGTTGCAAGAAATAAGACCTGAGTTTCACGATGCTGATTGTCTGATTCTTCAAAATGATTTAAACATTGTCTCAGAGTGGTCAAAAGAATGGCTTATGGAATTAAATGTTGCAAAGTGTAAAGTTATGCACCTTGGTCATGGAAATATAAATCATGAATATGTAATAAATGATGGTAATACATCTCTTATTATAGCTGCAACGGATATCGGAAGAGACCTGGGTATCTTTATATCTAATGATCTAAAATGGAATCAACACATACAGATTGCGACACGAGCAAATATGATACTTGGCGTACTAAAAAAAACATTTAGATCAAGAGATATAAGGCTTAGGGGTAAACTATATACTACATATGTTAGGCCGCACCTGGAATTCGCTGTTCCGGTATGGTGTCCTTACTTAAACCTGAAGGAGATAAAATCTTTTCATCCAATTTTATATATTTTATAATATTTCCATTTCTAATATTTATAATATTTCAATATTTCCAATTTCTATTACCTTTGGTAAATTGGAAGCAAAAGTGAAAAAGAAATTGGAAGCAAAAGTGTATAGTTAGAAAATATTATGTAAAGAATCTTGATTGGCAATAAGTTCGATTATGTTCTTTTTAAATTTTTGAAAGGCATTGGCTTCTCTAAGTTTACAACTCAGGCTTGTAAAATGGTTTCATAGCATTGGGCCACGATAGGAAATGGCAAAGTTTGTAAGTTTTGATTTACGGAAAGATTTTTTAAATCTTCTGGTAGATCAAGTATTGTATCGGTAACTCAATAAATCTTTTTACAAAAATCATTATTTCACTTAAAAACATTAAAAAAACAGGTTACCAAAAACTTCTTTTGGGATCTTTTGATATATTTTTAAAGGTTTTGTGGGTTTGTTAAAAAATAAAGTAAAATAAACCTAAAAAAATCAGAGGAACCAATGTTTTTTACGACATTTTCTAACTTCTATTTTCAATATAATAACTTATTTAAAATAAAAAATTAGACATTTGCGTTAAAAACCCAGGCTTTATCTAATTTCTTTTACACTCTTTTGATATGTTTTCAGAAATTCTGTGGGTTTTTAAACGAGTAAGGTAAAATAAACCAGAGTGAATTAAAGGAACCTAAGTTTTTTACGACAAAACTACTTTTTCTATATTAAAACATATCTAAAATTGAAAAATAGGACAATTGCGTAAAAAAAACAAGTTTCCTATGACTCCTTTTGGAAACTTTTGATATATTTTTAACGATTCTGTGGGTTTGTAAGAAGATAAGGTAAAAAAACCCGGAGCGAAGCAAAAAAACCTATGTTTTTCACGGCAAAAAATTTATTCTATTTAATAACTTATATATTTTTAAAAAATAAGACAATTGCGTCAAAAAACCAGGTTTCCACTAAATTCTTTAAAATTGTCTTGATACATTTTCAAAGAATCTATGTGTTTGTTGAAGAATTAGGTATAATAAACTTATGTGATTTTAAATATGCCAAACTATTTATGAAAAATCCCCCTTTTTTCAAAATAATAACTTATCTAAAAATGAAAAATAAAAAAATTGCGTCGAAAAAAAAAGTTTCCAATAATAACATTTGGAATCTTTACATATATTTTTAAAAGTTTTGTGGATTTGTTAAAAAATAAGGTAAAATAAACTTATGTTAATCAAAATATCTAAAGTTTTTTACAACAAAACCTTTTTTTCAAAGTAGTAACTAATCTAAAAATAAAAAAAAAGAAAGTTGCGTTCAAAAAAAAAAGATTTTTACTGATTTCTTATGGAATCTTCCGATTATTTTTTAAAGCTTCTGTGATTTTGTTTAAAAACAAAGTCAAATAAACCTGAGCAAATCAATAGAACCTAAATATGTTACGACAAAACCTCATTTTCTAAATAATAACTTATTCAAATAATAAAAACAAAACAATTAGTTAAAAAATCGGGTTTCCAATGATTTCTCTTGAAATTTTTTTATTTGATTTATGAGATTCTTTGGGTTTGTTAACGAGTAAAGTAAAATAAACCTAAGTAAAATAAAGGAACCTAAGTTTTTTACGACAAAACCCCTTTTTCTATATAATAACTTATCAAAATTAAAAAAAAAAGACAATTGCGTCAAAAGAACACATTTCCACTGCTTTCTATTGGATTCTTTAGATTTGTTTTTGATGATTATGTTGGTTTGTTAAAGAATAAGGTCAAATAAACCTAAGTGAATCAAAGGAAGCGAAGTTTTTTACGACAAAACTCCAT